TATACCAATAAATGTTTTAATAGTGAGTGACTACAAAGACAACTAAGCAGATCTCTAGCCCTTAAAAAGCTGTAACAAAACTAAGTAAAAAAATCTCATATGGGAATGAGTGAAAATATTTAAAAAATCTGGAGAAGTGATAATGTCATTTAAGAACCCTCCTTCCGTAATAAAAGCTAACTGCCTCTTAAATGAGTCAGGTTATTGATTTGTGACACAAAGGCAGGGTTGCACAGTGACATGTGTAATGGGTTATTTAGTTCCACCACAACTGGCAGTTGGAGCGCTCCGCAGTGCTAGTTACTGAATGATGGGAAATGTGGGTGGTTGCATGTTCAGGGCACAGGAATCTGTTTGATAATTAAAAAGCAGGAATGAATGCAGCAAGTGCAGGATTAGCAGGCAGGGTCTTACTTTCACAGACTTAATGTCTGGGAGGAACATCTGCTAAAACAGAGTTTGGTGTTTCAGCAGGAACAAGTATCAGTTGTAGCTGGTGGTGTCTGGGAAGAATGACAGTGTATGTAACCTGTGCATTCTGAATTGGGCTATGCAATAGTTTCTGTGTCACATAATCTCAGAAAGGTGGAAGTTGGAAGGGATCCAGAGATCGCCTAGTCCAAGCACCTGCTCGAGCAGGGTCACCTTTCCAAAGACTGTGTCCAGGCAGGTTTTGAGTAGCCCCAGAGAAAGAGACTCCACAACTCTCTGGGAAGCTGTTGCAGTGCTCTTTTACCCTCCTAATGAAGAAATACTTCTTCATGTTCAGATGGCAATTCTGTACTTCAGTTTGTGCCCCCTGCCTCTTGTCCTATGGCTGGGCCCTGAAGAGAGCCTGGCTCATCATCTCTGCCTGGTCCCTTCAAATAATTCCTGTTGATAAGATCCCCCCTTCAGTCTTTTCTTTTCCAGGCTGACCAGGTCCAGGTTTCTCAGTCTTTCCTCRTGAGAGAGATGCTGCAGGTCCTTAATCCTTGTATACATTTWGCACTATGCACTTAATGTTTTTAATTTTAACTCTTAATGTTGGTCCATTATAGAAAAAGTACCTATTCAAGGTAGGGGCAGACATTGCTCAAGCTTTATTCATCTAATGAGCTCCACTCCCTTGTGGAATTCTGAATCGTCTCTTTTGTGTTATTTCTTGTCCTTTTCAAAGACTGAGCTGTCTRAAAGAGTCAAACTTGGAGGTATTTTCTTTCTTTCACCTGCTAAAAACTTTCAAAAGTGATTTCAGTCTTCTCATCTATGCTTCACAGGACAATTTGCCATAAGTTATATTGTACAATGATGCTTTGGATACATAGTCCTCCATAGAAAAATCTTCCAAGGAGACAGAGGAATTTCTGGAGGAAGGAAAGCTGTGTCAGCATGCTTACAAAGCTGAAAAGCATTTAAAAAAAAAAAAAAACCCAAAAAACTTCCGTCACAAGGAATAGGCACTGTAGAAAGTTCATCATTAGGTAARATTAAAAAGCAAACAAAATATTTAAAAAAAAGAGGGACAAAGAAACATGCCAGAAAAGGAGAGAAATGAAAGCTGTGGTGTACGCTGGCTGCACTGACCAGGTTTGGTTAAAAGCACAAGGAACCTTGTGACTGGATCTAGCCAAGATGGTCTTTGTTGTGGTGATTCCCTCTCCATGTCTGTCATTGAAATGTGTCTGTAGATTTCTGCTTAATTTGTAGAGTTTATGTGAATACTAAAAAGGATCAATTTCTCCTAGCTTTCCAGTTTATGAATATATGCTCTGTACTTAGGCAGCTGCAAAGCTAAGCATTTTCAGGAGGAAAAGTTCTTTTCAGGCTCTTTCTAGGCAATATGTGACTGTYGCATACCTGCAAAATACTATCAGAGCATCATTGAAGAAATGAAGAAAGGCATGAAAAGAGAGCTGAAGTGTAGGACCCCAGTTAAAGAGGTGTTATTTTGGGTAGGAAATAGGTGATAAAACTCCCTGCTTGAAGCTCTTCCAGTTTTCCCTTGAGAGGGATTTTCRGAGGTAGTTTCCAAAATTCCAGTTATGCCCCTCTGCCTGCATCCTTCCTATCTCCCAGGACATTCATTGACAAGATCATTATCCTAATATAGTCTTAATAAGAACTGAAAACACAGGAATTGTCACATGGAGTATTGATCTGTCTAGCTGACTTTTTCTAATTGTAATTAATCTTACCTTTTGTCTTAATGTCCTGCAGCAGAAAGCTCCAAGTTAGTTTATTAACCAAACTCTTCTAGAAGCCTGCAGCGAGAGCGCAGTCGGTGCCCCTTTGTTCAAGAGTACCCGGCATAACTTTTTCTGTTAGTAACAAGAACTGCTGTCCCCTGCATTTGAATATGGCCTATCTACAATGTGTGCAGGCTATGGCAGCACGATATTTGTGTTGTTGGCTACCCTGTCAGCACTTGATGGTAACACTGCTATCAAAGAGAGATTTCAGTTGTAATTTAATGAATCATTTCATAATGTTATAGCAGCATCCATACTATGCCAAATAATATAGGATGCAAAGGATGCTGTAGAAGGCTGCTTTATAGAAGGTGCCAAGAATATGTTTCAGGAATAGGGATCACTTTTTTTTACGATAAATAGAAGGGATAGAAATTGCAGAGCACTGAGATGTCTTGAAACTGACAGTATAAGAACACAAGATTCAAATTTGCCCTTTAATAATGTGTTTTTTGTTGTTTTCAAAGTAACTGAGAACTGTTTGCTGCTGTGGCATTTACATTCTGCCAATATTCTGTATTTGCAGTGGTGTAATGAAGAGATTACACATCAGTTTAACTTTTGATTGATACAGTTTAGTCTGTACCCCATTCTAGTGTTTCTTTAAGAAAAGGAATACTGAAGCGGAAAAGATAACACTTAAGGACACTTAGTGATAGTTTAAAGATCAGCATTTAATTGAAAGTCAGTTATGAGGAGATACCTTCTTTCACAACATGATGTGTCTTCACCCATTCAGATTGCCTAAGCTTTTCATCTGTGACTGCAGTATTTTTTCATAGCTGAGGTGCTTTATTTACAGGACTAATGGTTTCATGGGTGTATGTGACCCTGAAAAAAGAATGATATAGATACATTTTTAGGTTGATCACTTTTGAGGAAGGTTTGCGTATAAAAATTTACATTGGAGAAACTTGTTTAAAGAGTCTATATTTGTACATGTCCAAATAAAACCCAAGTGAGCCAAGATCACATTTCTAYACATTGTAAAAAGACTGGCAAAAGTCTCCAGATAAAAGCCAGACCCTTATTTTATTATTTATTCTCTTCAAAATCCTAGTATTAAAGGAAATTAAGAGTTATGTCATCAAAAAGAGTGCTGTTCATTTCACAAATGAAAATGTGAAGGTTGTTCATAGCTGAACTCACCAAAGTTGCCCATGTGCTACTGTTGCCTCAACGGGCAGTAATCCTTAAGGCATAGAATTTATCAATACTAGACTTGTCTGTAAATATAATTCATAGTCTCAACCTGAGCATGTATGTGCATAGCAAAAGCATTGGAAATGAAATTTGATTGCAAATACTGAAATGTGGAAAAGAATTGCACAGTTGCATCCGCCTGGATGCCACCCTGTGCCACATGCTCTAGGTGTGCCTGCTTGAGCGGGAAGGTTGGACTAGATGGTCTCTAGAGGTCCCTTCCAACCTTGAATATTCTGTAATATTCTGTGAGTTACAATTTATGTAACCTCGGCAGTAAATTATGTTAATATATAGTCTTACTCTCTTTAATTTTTTTGGTAGATTAAATGAGGATTTTTCACGAATGTTCAAAACTAAGCTGACATATTGGAGCAGACATTGTGTCAAATCTATGCTATTTCAGACAGCTGTTAAGAAATCTTGGAAGCCCTTTGTTAGTGTCCTTTATAAAGCCGTGTTCATCGTGCTTTGTATATGGAATTATTTATGGTAAAATTCCGAACTGTTGCACAAAGATGATGACTTCTAAATGGTAAATGGGAAGGAAGAAATAAACCTGAACACCTAAATTACACAGACAATTACTGCTAGCATTAGGAAAATGGCCTCTGATCTGAGTTGATGATACCTGGTTGAAAAAACTAGTATCCATCCCCTTCCCCCCACCTCCCAAAGTAATGTTTCTGTAACATTTTTTTTCTCC